AGAGATGAAATGTCTCTTAATTTAAAAAACACTTTGCAACACATGATCCGCAAAAGGGGCGGGCGGGCGAAGAGACCACTCCCATAAAACCCTAAATGCAACCCGCTAACAATTACTCACTGTAAACAGTAAACAAGATGGGTTGGGCCCCCTTTTGACGGGCTGGGCCCCCCAGGGCTGGGAAAAGGGGCCTTTAAAAGGGGGTGATACCCCCCCCGGGGAAAATTTTTTCCACAAATCTAGTGAGAGAAAGCTGGTGGGCCTACATATGGAAAAAATGGGTCTATGTTTGGGGCCCGTGTGCACAGAAAAAAAAAAATCCTGCAAACACACAGTGCATAATGAAAAAAAAAACTTTTTTACAGTGTTTTTTGGGTTTTAAAAAACGACTTTGCCCCGGGATTTTCATAAGGTAAATTTTTGAATTTTATTTTAAATTTTTCCGGTTACAAAAATATAGAATGGAAAAACATAATTTCAGAAATTTAGACAATTTTGATTGGTTTTTACAATGAAAAGTACCTTTAAATTGACTCAAAATAAAAGAAAAGTTCGATTTTTGCCAAATTCAAAAGTAAACAAATCATTTCCACGCGTCCAAAAGCACATCAACTGTAATTCTGATAAACCCTTTTTCCAAATGCCTGATAATTTTTTATGCCCTTTCTTTCACTAAAGCAGAAATCGCATAACAGAAAAACTTTTTTTTTTGTGAAATAAAATTCAAAACGAAAAACAAAAAAAAAAGGAAGAGGGGGGGGGGACATACTAATGAACAAAGAAATGTTTTTTTAAGTGCCCGGGAAAGTCCTTTTTGTTTTTCTGGACCCCCAAATTTTGGGAAAATTGGGATCTTTTTTAAATTTTTTGAAAAAGGCAAAATTGCCCAAAAACTTACCACTTTATTGGAAAAGTTGAAAATTTGGGAAATGGATGATTTTTTTGAAATCATTCGATAAAAAAATGGAGTTCTCGTGAAATAGTTAAGTTTTGTAAAAATTTAAAAAAAAAAAATTTTGGAACCCCAAAAAAAGGGGGCAAAGTTTGGGGGAAAAAACACTGGGTGCTTTAAAAATCCCTTAGACCGCTAAAACCTTTGGAGAGCCCTAATTTCCCTAAGTTTTCTATCAAATTTCATACTTTTTTTGTCATTATGATTTCAAAAAATTCTCTATCTTTTTTAAGAAAAAATAATTTTTTTTTTTTCCCGAAAAATTTTCGACCCTGAGAACAAGTTTTTGGGGGGGGCCTCTCGACCCTGAAAGGGTTTAAATAATTTTTAAAGGTTAAAGCAATTTTGCAAGATTTTTAAAAAATTTTGCAAAAAAAAGAAGGGAAACCCCTCGCCTTACCATGCAAGGGGAAACACGAAAAAAACAGTATGAAATTTTTGAGTCATGCGTTTCAGTGAGTATGATCTGTTTAAAAATTTTTACTTAAATTTTTATGTGAAATTTTTTTAAGGTGGATAACCAAATTTAAATAAAAAATTTTTTTTTTCATGTCATAAATTTTACAGTCCCGTCCCACAAATACAATATTTTGATCAAAATACAGTATTATTAGTACAGTATATTAAACACAAGCGTTGAACCAATGTGATTCATGCAGATTTTTTAATTTTTTTGCATAACCATTATTTTAATGTACCAGTCATTGTTAATAATAATAGTAATAATTATAGTAATAATAATAATAAAAGATTAAGTCACAATGCTTATGTTGGAACTATTCAAGACTAAGCCACAGTTTGAAGAGGATGCTTTGAACATGTTTCCTGGATCATTATTAAGTTGCAAGCAAGAGCAAAGAGGTAGAGAAAACCAAACAATAAGTCAGGTGAAGAGATGAGGAGGCAGCCAAGATCAGGTCAAGTCTGATGATCAGAGCATTTGACAGTGTACTGGGAAGACCAGTATAAACAGAAATATTACCAGGGCAAAGATTTACGTGAAGAATTTTGTATATATATGTGCCATTTCAACAAGATAACATCTGTGAGGGCTAAAATAAGGTTAGATATTTTTGGCAGACAGTTAACTTATTCCTTGGTAGTAGGTTGGTAGACAACAACCGCCCAGGGAGGTACTACTGTCCTGTGTAAAACAGAAGCCTGTAATTGTTTTACATGATGGTAGGATTGCTGGTGTCTTTTTTTTTGTCTCATACACATGCAAGATTTCAGGTACATCTTGCTACTTCTACTTACACTTAGGTCATACTACACATATATGTACAAGCATATATATACACACCCCTCTGGGTTTTTCTTCTATTTTCTTTCTAGTTCTTGTTCTTGTTTATTTCCTCTTACCTCTATGGGAAGTGGAACAGAATTCTTCCTCCGTAAGCCATGCGTGTTGTAAGAGGTGACTAAAATGCCGGGAGCAAGGGGCTAGTAACCCCTTCTCCTGTATATATTACTAAATGTAAAAGGAGAAACTTTCGTTTTTCCTTTTGGGCCACCCCGCCTCGGTGGGATACGGCCGGTGTGTTGAAAGAAGAAAAGAAGAAGTTAACTTATTGTGGTATAGGCTAGATCTAAAAAATAATAGAAAATGCATTATTAGTATTGGTGGAGCAACTTTTTGTGTGTTCTTAGTCTTATCAGAATTGAAATGGTAAGTTTCATGAATATATTGGAAAGTAAAAGATGAGCAAGAGACACTAAAACTGCCTTTAAATTAAAAAACATTGTATCTATTGATACAGAAATTTTTGTGAATCAACATGAAAAATAAATATTTAATTTTTCTTTTAAACTAACTTACCAAC